ATAGTAAAGTAGATATTGACAAAAAAAAAAGGACCTTACATAGACAACTTAGTCAATGAGCCAGTCTGAAAAGCCGCCAGTTAAGTTCCGAAGCCAAACGGATTAAATCAGATTTATTTTTTAAATGTGACAACAATATTTAAGTTTCTGTACCAACAACCGTTCATCCATTCTGTTTTGACTGTAACAATGTGGCACTCCAGTGCTAAGGAATTGTTATGAAAAGGTCTAGACAAAAATGTCACTATTTACTATTTTCTGAAGCAAGGGACTCCAAACAAAAACATGCAAAAATTCTATGGAAGAGAGCTGAAAGGCAGCCAGAGACACGACAAAAACCATATTAGATTATATCCCACCCACCACCACAGAGGCAGGAGTCGAGCACTGACAGTCATGTTAGGCCAAGCAAAATTGAATTCCTCCTTCCAATTTCATGGCTTTAAAAATAGCCGGGCCTGTAAAATCTTCATTTTTTTCCCATCAGGCAAAGTTGTTTCTTTGAATAAAGCCAGCAGACCATCTGTCGGTTCACCACATTTAACAGCCTTAGAATTTATAATATAAACTCCAGGCCGTTTCCGAGTGATCAGAAAGACGGCAGATATAAATGGGGCCACAGATTCCAAATGAGCAACTGTCATTCAATGGTTAAATCGGCACACAGAATGGTAACGCATGTATCAACATGCAGGCAGTCACTGCTGATAACTTCATTGGTTATTTTATCCACACTTGAATAATCTTTAAACAAGGTCAAACCGTTCAAGTCCAGCGAACGTGACCATGACAACATCTCCTCCTTTTTAGGATACAACCAAAGGCCCGTTTCCAGCATCTATCAGCATACAGAAAAAATTAGGAAAATGCCAGTCGGCTAATCCCCTAGATGCAGGGCTGCACAGGCAGTAGTGATGCGGAACCGCTGGGCTAAGGACCCTTTCAGCGGAGCAGAACCGAGAGACGGCAGCAGCAGCCTCAAGAGCTGATGGTTTTCTTGCTCTCCATGCCAACTCCACGGTGCCAACATATTTATCAAAGCATATCATTCATCCCGATGCGAAACACTCAATCCTGCACCCTCGCAGCTAAGTGCAGCGCCCACACAGCACACCAGAAACACATCACACATAGGCGGTTACCCACCAACAACAAACACGCCCTATATTTTTGGTGCCGAGCAAAATTTCTTGATTAAAATAACAGCGTGCTCCTCAGAATCACGGCTGGTGTTTACAAATACACAACTCAGGGAAATCTCCATTTCTCCACCAGAACAAGCCTGAAATATCAAGCACCGCCTAACATTTTACTGAAATGTTCAATATGCACTTGTTTGGGATTTCAGCTATTAAAATGGTGACTTATATACTCGAACAAATATTACTGGTCAATGCATTTAAATGGAACCGTTTTAAACATTAACATGTTCCTGCTTAATCACTTTAAGAAATCTGATCTCTATAGATGAGCAAAAACAGGAACAAAAGCTTCAGGTATAATTAGCATTAACAAAGCAGGAAATTTAAAATATGACTGCATGTGCTGTTAACTAGTGAGAGGCAGAGGAACAGAAAGGGGCTGAGTTACACTAGTGACTAGAGGGTGATTGATTACCTGTCCAAGACCCACCAATCATCTTCTGACTGTTAAAGGCCATGATTAGGCTCAGCTGGAGAGAGAGTTGATAGAGTTCAGTGGGCTGTTCCCTGGGGAGATGATGCACGTTCAAACGCAGACTAAGATTGTTAGATTTTTTTTATTTGCATTTTGCAATTTTTTTTACAATAGTCATGTGGGTACCTTTTTCATCCTGTGTCTCATGTTCTGCTGACCCATAACCTAAAACATACATATTACATATTACATATACGACTTAGCGTCATGCAATGACTGAGAATAAACATTCAATTTTTTAAAACTGCGTTCACACTATAAGGGATATACTTGGCTATACTTAATTTATATATGACATAGGAAAACCTTTTTTTCTCAGCCAATATTTGAACATTCAGATTTTTTTAATTTACATTTTTAAAATGAACAGTTTGTATGTGATATGGTCGACATCTTTGATGCAGTGCCAGTGGAAAACATCATCATATGGCACTTGGAACTGTGACAGGTTTTTTGCTTTTTTAAACCCATTATTGCATTTATCAAGAATTCTCAAAGGAATACCTATAGTGCTAATTACAATAAACTGATTACACTATATTTGCATAGATACTACCAGCATGCCAGTCTGCCTAGAACATACCTTTATAAAAAATTTGCCAATGCTCTATATATACAACCAACCTCCATTCATACATCTACTCAGGTGGCTTATGCTAGTGGTGTAAAATCCAGGTTTTACCAAATAGATGGATAAGATTTCTATTTCACTGGTACATCTAAAGATAACTGTGAGGATATGAGCCCTGATCTGGCTACAGCCCATGACCTTAACCATCCTGCTGTTAAACATACAAACCAAACCAATATAACCACTGTCTGTGTGACTTCTGCATCGCACAAATTAAGGGCATTTGTTTCAAAACATGAATGCTAATTTTCCCATCACAGTAAGGGATTAGCTCGCAGTACCCCAGCTATTTTTAACCACCTTTAAACAGGGGAACACGCTACAGAGTGGAAAGGGGTACCATCCACCATCATTAGCAGCAGCACAGCAGAAACAGCTTCTGCTCTGAGTTTCACTGAGAAACGCAGCGTTTATTCCAGACAAAAGGCAGCGTCCATTTGTTAACAGACACCTTGTAGATTTCCAACAGATTACACTGGCAAATCAAAAGATATGATAAATGACACAAGAGGAAAATTGTGGAGCATGTCATGTGCAACGTGAATTCATAACATTGACCTCCTCACCTCATATAACCAATTAATGAAGCACAATACCGGGTAATTTATGTAATATATTCCTGCAGGATTATTGGTGAGTCAGGCAATGCTAATATAAAACAGATTATGATAAGCACAGTCACTGTTAAATTAGAATCAAACCAATTGCAAAGCAATATCAATTTATAAATGACATGAAGAGGGCATCCTATATCCAGCTGTTGCTATGGAAACATAAGCATGTTACCAAAGCATGCTGAACTGACTTTTTTTAATCTCCTTTCTCAGGTCACATGGGACTGTTTCGGATTTTGAATTTAAAACTGGTATAAAAGAGACAGAGGGGAAACAAATCCTTTCAAAAGGTGTATCTACAGGAGCTCTTTACTGCAAATAATGTTTACTTGGTCAAAGGTGCACAGGGAAACCTGGATGATTTTTTTTTGCCAGGTTTATATATCATAATGGAAAATTAGATGACCAATGGCAGCCTTGCTCTAAATACATTTCTTACAAAAGCAGAGACATCAGAATACAAGCTGAATCCAATAATACCTCACTAGCTTTGCCCCTGAGAAGATATAATGGATGACAATATCTATGAATGACAGTCTTTCTCCTTTAAATACTCCAGCTTGTTCAACCCTTACCAGTATATGGTGCTCACCCTCATTGCAGATCAATATGGTCAGATCACACTGGTCATTGTAACAGTTAAGAAACTGGCTCAAATACATAAACCATAAAAAGCAAAAGAAATATTGCTGTAAATATTACTAGTGACATCTCTACTGACATGAAATATTTAAGACTGTAAACCTTACCTTATAAAATGGACACTTTTTTTTTTATAAATCCATAGGATAAAATGTGACTCAACCTGCTGGCATGATTGAACAATGAGACTCAATCACAGAATGTGGTGGTAGGATTGAACAATGAGACTCTATCACAAAATGCGTACAATCGATGTACAGAACTGCTGGGTGCTTTTATGTGAGTTTCCATCACTTTCTCTGGATTCACACAGTCATTTTCCGTCCCCAAAACCTGACAGCAGAAGCAACACAGGACCAAGAGAGAAGTGGACTACTGCCAACGTGTGTGTGTGTGTGTGGGGGGGGGGTGTCAAATGAATAAAAGCTTAGCCTCAATAACTTAGACTGTCACACATCACTGCATTGTGACAATTACCTCCTGAACTTCTCAAACACCGAGGACCATTCAACATTCAATCTCTCCGTATTCTTTAAAAAGTAGAAGAAAAAAAACACAGAGATACTTTCATTATACCTGTGCTTCTGAAACGCGCTGTTATTCCGTTTTGGAAATAGGTTTGGTGGTTCATTTCAGAACTCCTGTTCTTCTTCAGTTCAATGCACCAAGTCAAATTTAGCAGATTCACCCCCCTAGCCCCCTCCCCCGCAGAACATGATTATGTAGTTTCTGGTGAACAGCTTTGCGTCCGCCTGAAACCTGATGACACTGTCACGATCCTCGGCCCGATCCAGACCGACTGAGGACTGCTGTTGAATAATTGATAGTTCTTGCGGTTTGCACTAAAGACCACCGCTGGGGCTGGTGGGGCCCAGGTGATATACGCTCCACTTCACCACGCCCTGTACAGACCTACAGGTCAGCCTGCTGTTGCTGCTAAGGAAGCACTAAAGGAAAGTGGGTCTGGCATGTTGTGCCACTGCTTTGATTTTCCAAAACAATTCTTAAAAAAAATACTGGGGGGATGGTTAAAAAAAAAAAAAAAAAACTGGAAAAACTGCATCGGCGTTCTTCATAATGCCACCAATCAACCGTTTCATATTTGCAAAAACTTTAAGCAATAATTTGTATTATCTTGTAAACTTTACCATTTGTAGACCTCTAAAAGGAGCATTGGGAAGAATATCTGATTATCATACACATGCTCTATAGTATGATAAACAAAAACAAACCTGCAAAATATGGTATATGTTCACCACAAGGAAATCAATCAGCGTTAACTGAATTTTAAACCACTTTGATCAAGTACGCCGCACACACGTGCTGTCAAACAGATCAGTCAATACCAGTAAATACAAAGAGTAGCATATCGGTGTCACATTATTACAACACGCGGGTGTAGAACAGTAACAGCATCCGCTGGCTTAGGCACATACCTCGCCCGTAGCCTTGTCCCACCGATGTCCACACTGGCGCTAATAAGTAGCGATCTGCTGCGACACGGCGACGCCGGTCACAGCGCGGTGCGACCCCGCGTCCCTTTCCGTTCCCCACGGCGCGATCGGCTAAGCGAAGCTCAACACAGAGGGATCGACGTCCATCCGAGCCTTCAGTGTACACAGATCGTGAACTATAGACCACGCTGACTACTCCTGGAGAGAGGGGGTCTGAAGACGAGGCTGATCACGGTGTCCTCTCAGTCGCCAAGTCCCGAAAACTAAGTACACGTGACTAAACCACAGGAATGGCTTTCATCTAGCCAGCAGCTGGGATCAATTAGCGGACAGACCCCGCTACGGACATCCCCGTTCTTCCCCCTTCCTGTATTGTGTGCCTCGAACACGGCTGTGTAAGAAATGCATTTGGGATCACCAACAATTTCTTATTATCTAACACTGTGAGTAAGGCTTAGTCGCCTTACTACTTTAAGTAACGCGTGCGTATAGGAATTTGTGAATAAACAAACGTAAAGAAGAGCGTGTTTGCTTGCTCCTATTCCTTTCATTGTTGTCAGAGCGAAGATAAATTATGTTTTGTTACCACTGTGTTTTTTAAGATGAAGTGTTTTTTAAGGTGACGGATGATGATGGCGTGTGTGTGTGTCTGTGTGGTTTTTACAGCAATTTCTTCTGTATTTTTGTTTTATGTTGAATTCCAGAACGCATTAACATCGGAAGTTATAGTGCCACGATGAAAATTATTTAATAATCTCCTAATCGTGCTAAAATAACTTTTCATAGGTCTATATATACGCGCAAAATAGCAAACTACCGATCGTATTTGTTATTGTTTATATTTTTTACAGTTTTATTCACAAGATAAAAAGTTGTATCCGGTTCTTAAATGCTACTATTAATAGCTGTATAAGTTGTTTATGCATTATTAATAAAGATTAGATATAAATGTGTGTACCAGTTTCAATGGGCTGGTTTTATATGAAGCAGTTACCAAAGATTCCTACAGTATACACTTTGATATAAAGCAGGAGTACTGAAAGTGTTAACTAAAAGAGGTCACCCCTTCCCATCAAAAGATGCAGGTGAAGCTTTGCCTTGTTACAATTTATTTGAACTTATTGCACTTATGACATTTAAGTAAACGTTAAAATGTAACACATTTAACAAACACTTTCTCTGATATGTTTCATCACAATGTAAATAAGGTACCAGGACAAGTCTTGCAGACAGGGTTAAATAAATCACCTAACTCCTCTCACTCAGCAGTAGGACTAATATAGTATCTGTTTCCTTTCTTCAGCAGTGTCACTTTTTCTCTGCCTGCACCTGGTGGAAATGGTGCTGAGCAGAGTTCATCGTTCCAGAATCTCTTTTTTAATACTGTCCCAGTTTTAAGTAGATCAGTCCCGTTCATGGGATTTTTGAAGACTTCAGATGAGAATTGGTCAAGGTCCAGATTTTAAAAGTAGTGTGGAAGCTCACAACAATCATTATGATATTACCTCTTTAGCAACAAAATCTGGTATATGATATATTTTACTGAGTGGGTTGTTTGGAATGCACGGACGAGGAAGTACAAGTTGCAGGTGTCAAAAATAGAAAAAGAGTGAATGTGTTCCCCTAGGAAATAAGGAGGAATGACTGGCATTTCCCTTTATAATTTTGATCTCATTTTAGCATATACTCCTAGGTTTCTTTTAATAGTAATAGGTACTTTATTGATCCCCATGGGGAAATTCTCTTCACACCTCCCCCAACTTGCTTTCTGTGGGTGAGAGTAAGTTGGCTGTGAAGGGCAGCCGCCCATAGCAGCCCCCAGGGAGCTGGGGGGTTAAGGGCCTTGCTCAAAGACGTGGCGAGGCTGGACTTGAACAGGCAACACACTGCCCCCAGTATACCATTCTATATAGCATGGTTTCATATATAATACATAAATAATGACTGGCACAACTGTCAAGAGAGCAGAGGTTGAGATTTCACATCCAGAGAGTACAAATCCAGACCATGGTTTTCTTTCAACCTACTCTGTGACTCTTTATACTCAACTGGTTTGTTGAAACAAAATCTTGGTCTGGATTTGTACTCTCTGCACCTGAAATCTCCACCGCTGCAAGAGAGAAATATGATCTTAAAATGAGAACTGAGATAATGCTGTAATTTCAAGGAGTTCTGAATGAACAGCTGCTGGCCTCATAAACAATGTTTTTTTTTTTTTTAAATCACAGTTCAAAAATGTCAAGAAAATTGTCCAGGAGAAACCAAAAGGTTGAGAAGTTCCAAAAATTAGACTTCATTATCAAAGCATTACCTAGGGTTCATGGGGGGCGTATTATCTGAGATGTACTGGGATAATGCTGATTACAGTAAGTCATTTTGTCACAGGCAAGATGGAAAAATAAATGCTTTAAATATAAAGAAGAAATATGCCACCATGAGGACTGTTTTTAGTGAGAGGATACAAGAGATGAAATGCAGAGAGAACTTCTCTTCAAAGGGATAAAGCAAAAGAAAAAAACACAGTTAACTCAGCTTTAAAGAAGATGTTTTTGAATGTGCAGAAAGACTTAAATCCCACTGCCCCGTGGAAGCGGTATTTAAAGAAGTCTGTTGGCTGGAATGCAATAGTTTGTTTTAACAGCTCCACTTGATCCACTTCCAGCTTGTCTAGGTTCTCAGAAAAAATAAGAAAGACAAAAACAATCTCTGGCAACTTACAGGCAAATTAACACGCCTCTTCATTTTGGAGTGAAAAGGTCTGACAGGCAATTAAAAGGCCAAAGAGCCTTTAGAGGCGCCTGGGCTTCTCCTGTGGATTCCCAGAATTTACATATGCATGGGGACCCTTTATCCCCAAGACCCCAAGGCCTTTCGGGCGCCGCCGTTTTTGGGGGGAAATAAAAATGTTAGCTGATGGTGGCAAGTGAAGGTGGCACTTATAAAGTTTTATTATGATGGACCAACATTTTCCAAAATAAAATTGTATCATAACTTACACTTGTACTTATGTGTCCCATGAATTAATTCTCCCTCTCTCTCTCTCTCTCTCTCTCTCTCTCTCCCTCTCTCTGTCATATACATATATACACATAAATATGTGTGTGTGTGCGCGCATATAAAATAGGGTGTGCTATAGCCTCCGCATGTGTCAGAGAGAGCTTCGTTGCTTTGTGAAGTTTTATTTTTATACTACATATCTGCTGAATATGTCATATATATATAATGTCAATGTTTGAACAGTATGACATGGACCAATGGCCATCTGAAGGGAGGGGAGCTTAAATATATCTCTGTAAAATCTCATCTAGATTAAAACACCAAACAAAAACAAAGAACCCAGCTGCAGGTGGCCTTCACACGATCGCCGGCCCGCAAGCGAGTGCGTCCTTCAGCAGCCGTGCTGGAACCATCGTGTGTAACACAAATGCATATCTTCTGGAGGGGGGAGATGCTGGTGGTTCGCTGGTCCTGACTGTCTGTGCAGTCAGCAGGTATATCTTGTTCCAGGAGCTGGGAGCTGTGTGGGGGCTGGATACTGGAGCTGCTCAGTAACTGCAGGTAAGCAATTTGAGTGAAGGCAGAACACAAAATAATGCATAATTCCTCAGTTCACAATTTAAAAATCTCACTATAATGAAAGGTGTGTGTGCCATCAATCAATCAATTAATTAATTAAGGATGTTAATTTCATTCCATTGTTGCTTATATCCATTCTGGGAGCAGACCTGTAATTCTCATTTATCCAATTTTCTTTTATAATATCTGAGGTACCAATGTAATATGTGACAAAATGCATTGAGCCTGCGACATAATGCAGATTTCCCAGAATACTCATTATCACTCAACAGCTGATTGCCTTTTTAAGCTCTCTAACAGAAGGCTTATCAATATTCAAGCATACCTTCACCATCTTGGTTTTCAGAGTTATAAATGTTTCATAGTTTTCAAGTGCCTGGTCTCCGATTTTACTGTGGGAAAAAAAATGCATGTGGTTTTGGGTAGAACTGGAACTAAAACAAATTGTACTTTTCCAAAACTATTGCTTCTTTAAATAAATGTTTCTTCTTGTTTGTCTGTGTATATACATACACGGTATATACACTTATCTAACAGTTTATAATGTTTGTGTGTATGTGTGTGTGTGTATGTGTGTGAGTGTGTGTGTAAATTCTTATGACAGTTCTCCTTCGGCTATTTGAATTTTAGATAAATCTGTAACCTATGTCTCAGTAACATATTCCAATACCAAGTAGGTATGTTCGTCACTGCAGAATTCCAGTTGGATAGTGATATGGATGACTGTTTGGTGTCTACAGGGATGGTTTTACTAAGGCTGTTTTCCTCAGAGCAGGAAGTTAGTAGATGACAGTTGGGGGGAGTATGGGGGGCTCCACAGGCAAATTTTAATTGGATTCTCCCTAAGTGAACAGATTCATAAGTCAGAGGATAAAACTTGCAGCAGTAAGGGGTAAGGAGGCCCCTCCCAGGCAGTGCATTTGAATTTCCGTCCATCTCTGTTTAGCATATCTGAAGGCCTCAAACACGATCACTATCAACATCTCAGATATGAACGGGAAATTAGGTGGAGGGGAAATGAAGAATAACAGGCCAGAGAACAACTGAGCACTGCGTCACACGCAGCAAAACATTATGTAAATGAGCACATGCTTTACATATGATGCATATTAAAATGAGCCCTGAAATGAAGAATTGCACACCTTCACCAAGAAGCTTGTTAAAATTACAACGTTTGCACCATGCATAATGTGACTAAAATCCTCTGCCTTTTATCAGGGTACTTACATTATTTTTCTTGGTTTAAAACAGGTTTTCTGTAGTATCGGAAGGAAAGACATCCTTTTAAAAACATAAAAATAAATAAAAACCAAGCTAACAGGAAAGACAATACATTCACACCACAGCATTCCCATTAATTTAAAATGATTTTTTCTTTTGCCATGGGCCTCAAAGATAAACTGCAAGCTATCTGGCCAGTCATCTTCATTTGTATAGAAATCAGTCAACCCATGCTGCTAATCTTAAAAGGCTAATAAACAGCTCATTAGAAAAGGTAAATGATACTAGATCTTAGCAATAATTAATGATGTTGTCTCCAGGAAGGGCATTGTGGCTTAATTAATTATTGTAACTGATTATCCTTTATTTCAAGTTGTTTAAAGATAATTAGATATGGGCAACTTAAAAGTACAAAAAGAAATTGGTGATTTAAAAGATAATATGGTAAGAATTGTACAAAACAACTTTATAAAGCTTACTGCACATCCTCAAAAGGAAAACCAATTCTTCTATCTTTATTGAATTATTTTTTATGATGTTGAGGATATTATTCTCTCGGTAAGAAC